TTTTACATCTTCATATTTGATAGCTTTTTTCAGTCCAGGATCTAAGCAGAGTCATCCATTCAGTGTAGTGGCTTTTTAGCCACCCATGAGATGATTTCTGAGTTCTGTCCACAGGTGTATAAAAGTGTTACATGAAACCTGGCTGAAACAATAAAATGAATAAGGTGTGTTTGGATCTTTGTTATCCCCTCCGTGACTCCTTTGAGTTCTTAAAAAGGAGCTGGAAGACTTTGCAGATTTTGTTTTTTGTTTTTTGTTTTTTTTTTTTCCCGTGTTTTATTTCTTGCCAGTTACATTTCACGTGACATGTTTTGTGGCTATTTTAGATATGTTTAGGAAATGTCGTGTTTGTGTATTTGAAAGAGGAACTGTCGCGTTCAGTTCACACTTTTGAAGCCCCTGCTGGAGCTGATTTTTTGGGAAGTTGCAGCGTGGTGCTGTGGGATGGGGATGTGTCCTGGCTTTATTTCAGGATTTGTCTGCCACCTGCCGGTGAGGTGTTCCAGAGCCTTGGAAATTGTGTTCTGCTTTTGATGGCATTTCAGGCCTTCCTGAGCTGCAATGGCTCTACATTTGAAGAAAAGTGGGGGTTAAGTAGTCGCTTATTGAGAATGGAAAGGAATAGGATAAACATCTTTGCATGGTAAAATGAATTTTTTTCCTGCTAATACCGAGTTCATGGCTCCAATCCAAACCAGATACATCCATGAAGAGCCTGGGAAACTTTTTGACAAAACAGTTTTGCTTCCAGAAGATGCTATTTCAGAAATATTTTGGGTTCAGCTTTTTGGCAGGGATTCCCAAGAAGCCTTGTGTGGAGTTGTGGTGTGTGCCTGCAAACCCAGATGTTTGTGGTGCCCCGTGTGTGAGTTCACAGGAAGCCCTTTGCCCTGCAGCTGGAGATGCCAGCACACTGTGGGGCTGTGGCAGAGCCACAAATCCCAGAAATTGCAATTCTGGGCCTTTGAGGGGATGTCAGAGCTGGGCAGTGGCAGAACCCAAAGGTTTAGGGGCCTGGGCCCTGTGTTGGTGTGGATCAGTCCCAGGCACTGAGGGGTTTCCAGCTTTGTCTGAGTTGAGCTGGGTTATGTATCCATTATACAGCAGGAACACAGAACTCCCGTGGCTGCTTTTTCATTTGGGAAATAAAATCTTTTGAAGGTTGAGGGGGTTTTATTCTCCAAAAGAGAACAAGAAACTGAAATCCAATTAGTTTCCTGCATTTCTGAAAACCTGTGTTATGAACAGTGCTGTTCCTGGGAACTTTCTTTTGCTGTGACAAATTAAGGCTTTACCTCCCTTCACCCACAGACCTGTTGAGGAAATTCTAATGAAAGGCAAGTTCATTGAGCTTTTTTATTCCCTCAGTTCCAGATAAACACAATGAGTGGAGAGAGAAAAGCAGCATGAGTAAGTTCTGCTCCCCTTAATGCACTATTGTGCACGTGATTGTTCTGTACACTGGAATGACAAAACACCCATAGATTTGGAATCCCATGAGAAATGCTTCCTTCAGCAGCAATTGAATATAAGGCCCTAACTGGAGGTAGCTGGTATTTTAGAATGCAAAACTCCAGTATATAAATGCATTGCAATCATGAGTTTTTATTTTTTCATGCTCAAGGAATAAAATTAATTGCTTATGAGAGTAAATTATTTTATTTCTATAACTACTGCCTAGAAAATGCAAATTTTTCATGAATAAGTGTTCTGTCTCCATAACTGGTGAATACAGATACTGAGTGCAAACACAAACACAGCAGATCCTGTTGCTCTGGATTGTGTTTATCTGCAGGAGCATCTGTCTGTTGGTATTTTCTTCCAGTGACCTGTTTTTATTGAATACTTGGGGTTGTAATTATTTCTTCCTTGGTGAGATATGAGAAGTGTGTCTCAAAATAAATGGTTATTGTTCAGAATTCTTTGAAGCGTTGTGAAATGTTGTAAAAACAGCTTTTTTTTTTTTTTTCTAATGTGATTTTTTTTAATTTACTGTTCTCTGACTTGTGTAAACTTACAACGTTTTTACTCCATTAGGTGTTTGTTTGCTTGTGGAAAGGTTGCAAAGTATATAATACACCTTCAACAAGTCAAAGCTGGTTGCAGAGGCATATGCTGACACACAGTGGGGACAAACCTTTCAAGGTAAGGCTCATTGTAGCATACATTATCTCTTTATTTTTAGAAAAATTCTCTTTATTTTTCCTAATACGTCAATTGAAAAATACCATCACTGGAGGATTTCTTAAAAAGTGAGCTGAGCCTTCTTCTTTGCAGTAATAGTGCCCAAAGGTTTGTTCTTTTACAAAAGCAGGTGAAGAAACTGTTATTGCTTCTCTACCCCTGTTTCTTTTAATCTGTGAATGGCAGGGAGTGTAAAACTAAAGAGTGCTGAAGTTCAGGGGGTTTGTGCACTTTGCAGTTGAGCTGTTCACACTGTAGCAGTGAGATGTTTTCTCTCACACTTTGCACTTGCACATTGAATTTTGGATGATGGCTGATGGGTGCACATTCTGTGCTGGACTAAAAACTGCTTTTGTTAAATTCTGTAGAAGCACTGGCACTGACTGTGCTTCACTTCTCTGAAAAGAATAAGGAAGTGAGGAATGCAGGACCATTGAGCTGACTGTATTTCCTGCACAGTATTTTCTAACTTTCTCTTTCTTTCTCCCCTTAATCTGTACCTGCAATTCTAGGTATAGTAATGTTTATCATTCCCATATCCACCAATCCGTTATTAATGAGTTCCTTCATCCTCTTATGGATACACTTGGGGCAGTTCATAGCTGTCAGTCCTGGATCACTTGATGGTAAGTCCCACCCACACTACTTCAGACTGAAGTTCTTCCATTTAGGATATGAAAATGAAATAGGAGTTGGGGTTTTTTTTTTGGTTTTGGTTTTTTTTTTTTTTTTTTTTTTAGTTTAGATAGCATTTTATGCTTCCTTCTTCCCCACCCCCAACCCCACCAAGTTTTAGTCTTCCCTTCTCTTTCCCCTCAAGTTAATATCTTCCACTTTTTAAAAATTTTATTTTAAGGCAGATTTATTACTAAAAATACTTTTCTATTACAGGGGTGTCTCCATAGCTACATTTTCTATCTAGGTTTTAGTAATAGTTATGACAGAAAACAGAACTAAATTGAACTCAGAACCAAGAGAGTAAAAATAGTGCATTGCATATGAAACAGATTTTTTTTTAACAGACAGATTTTTTTTTTTCTATACTGAACTGTGTAGTTTAGAGTAAAAATTTCTGACTCAGAAAGTAACCACAGGAAAATGAGTTTTAAGGTTTTCATCCCCTGTGTTTGAAGGAATGAGTTTAGCATGCTCCTGGGAGGATGGCTTAAGGACAGTAGATCCCTGCAAGTTTGCAGGTACAATTGTTCCAGGAATTGATCTAATCTGAAATCCTAATCTCTGATTAATACTAATAATAATAATAATAATAATAATAATAGTAGTAGTAGTAAAGAAAGCAACCACCAGTTACCAGAGGAAACCTGTACCTTAGGTTTTCTCTAGTTTGGGATGAAATATTTTGTCTAGCTCAGATCATAATGGCAAGCTTTGTTCTAGGATGAAAGTCTTTGAATAGCTTTCTCTGTGTTCTTGCCTGGTCTAGATCAAAGAAACTCAGTTGTAGGGATGTTGTGCTGGAGAGGTGAGAGAGCTCAGGAGCACCACGGGTCTGTCAGGCTTCCCTGGCAGAGGCAGCTCCACTTGGTGCCCTCCTTCTTTTGGCAAGGCTGCTTACAGCTGGGGCCTCACAATTGTCCAGGATTGTTTCTCATCATAATCATCCTGGGTTCAATATCTGTTGGGTTTTTTTGTGCTTTCTGGTCCTACTGAGTTTGAGAAGAGCACATTTGAAGGTTGCAGTTTTTAATCATCCTGGCTCAATGTGTGTCACTGCAGCATTTTTTCATACTGTTGTCTCGAGTCCCTCTGTTTGTTTTTTATCCCTGTATTTCTCAATCTGTTCCTGGGAGCTTTGAATGGAGGATAATTGTGGTCTGAGTAGAATTTTGTAACATCTTTTGTTCCCCTGTCATTTATGCTGGAATAGGCTTCAGGGCTCACATGAGGTAGCCAAGTGTGAGAGTGTCTGTCAGGACTGAGGATGGCAATCTATTAATTAACTGGCTCCTTTCCTTCATTTGCTGCTGCTTTTTTTTTTATCCTAACTTTAGAAATCTGCTCTCTGAGATGAAAAACACTTGAAGTGTTGGATATTAGTCTTGACCAGTCCAAGAACAGCCTTTTATTAATTGCTTTGTGGCAGTCAGTCAAAAATGGAGCCAGTGTGTCCATTTAGTGCATTTAACTTCTCTCATAAATCTTTAATTGCTCACCTTTCAGGGAGAGCCAGATTTTTGAAGTCAGAATTGGTTTAAAGACCTGTTCTTAATAATTACTGCAGACAAAATATCTCCCAAAACATAAATTGCAAATGAAACTTGAGTTGCCCCATGAGAAGATACTTGAATCCTAACATCCTGTCATTTTAGAAAACTTGCAGAAAATAGTCATTCAGTGTTTTAGTTAAAAAATAATGAGATTTTTGAGGAAAGCTATTAGAAGTGGTAATGGAAATAGTACAGCTCTATGCTGTTGTCTGAAGAACTGCTATTTTGGATGTTTTAAAGAAAAACAATCTTAGCTAGGAAAATGACAACTAAGAGCATGAAAATCTTACTTTTGTAAAGGTAGAAGAACACTACAATCATACAATGACCAGAAGAGAGCAATAAGTGTATCACAGATTGATACATTCTTACATTTCTAGTGAAAAGAAGAGAGAAATATCTTTTCTTAAATTGAAAAGCATTGGGGACTGTCTCAAACATAACTCTCTTCTGCATTGAAGGATATATCCCTGTTCAGTTCCCTTTTGCTTGCAAATGGACTCACTTTATGTAGTTGCACATTTTGGGTTTAATTATGTCTTTTTGTGATACACATGGAGTTGTCCTTTGACTGAAAGCTCCATTCAGCTCTAAATGAGCTGTTCTGCTTTCCCACTGAAAGCTCTTTGTGGGTTTTACCTGCCCTTTCCATTCATTGCTGTCAGCCATGTGACTGTGCAGTTCATTTGTCACAGAAATGAACCTGCTTCTGAATTGCAAAGGCAAAATGGTTCATATTTTCACAAGTTCATAAGTTTATCCCGTTTTTTCCTGGTTGTGTGGCTTAGTGTGTCCCTCTCATCATGAATATTGCAGTTTGTGTGTCACAGAGAAGGTAAATTTCCTTTTGGATGTCTATTTTTGAGACCATTGTTATTCTAGCTCTTTTTTTTCTGTGGGCCAGTATCTTGGTCGTGTACATCTAGTTCCTCTCTCTTTACAGTCTGAATTTCGCCAGTCCTTTTCATATTTTTTTTTGTCATTATAGCCATTCATTAAATAGAGATATTCTCTCCAAACACATTTAATATGTTCATCTTTGTGGATGATTTTACAAATAGAGTTGAGAGAGAAAACCTTCAACATTATACTTTCTAAAATCTCTTATTACACCATTTTGCAACTTCTTAGAAACCAGTGGAATATTGTGGAGTCATCAGCATCAGGGCTGGTCCTGTTGTGGCTTCAGCAACTTGGCTTTCAGACCTTGCAGTCAGGATGTAGAGGATCTGCTGAGTTAGAAAACATCCTGCTTTCAACAAACTCTCCTTGGCAGGTTAAAAAGCAGTGAATGAAAAGACTCCATCTTTCTTGTCCTTTGGCTGTTACAAGGAATAAGTATTAATAATTAAAGGGATTGTGACAATCTGCATTTTCCACCATGGTTTCTGGTGTGCAGAGGCAAAAATAAGTTGATCAAGTGTTACTTGGCACTGAAAGTTATTGAAGACTCATCAAATGAACTCTTAGATGTTGAGCACAATGAAAGGACAAATGGGAAATGAGCACTAAATAATTGTGTAAAATAATAATAAAATAAAAATAATAAATAATAAAATAATAATTGCATATAGCATTAGGATTGGGGTTGATGATCTCAAAGGTCTCTTCCAACCTAAATGATCCTATTGGGATACCTGTGGGAATGCTGGCAGCTGCTTTCACCTGTGGATTCCAGTGGAAATGCTCTTCATGGTCAAGAGCAGCCATGCAAGGTTTGCTCTTGTGGGGGAAATGTTTTTAGTGACAGTGAATGGTAGTGCACAGGTTCATTGCAGGCTTCTCCTTAAAATGGGGGAAGAAAGTAGTGTTAAAAATGGAGTTTGGTGCTCCCTGTAACTTCCAGAATTCAGGAAGGGGTGAGTGCATTTGATACAACTCTCAGTAGAGTAAAGCTTGGTGAAATATAGAAAAGAAATTCTTCATTGGGAATTCATGTCTGTTACTCTCTTGGCAGAATATTTTCTATCCATTAGAGCATTGCAGATGTAAATCTGCCCAAACACTCAGATGTTGAGACAATAAGAAAGTTTACCCAGATGTCTAAACCATTACTGTTAGATTTATTAGAAAAAAAATTACATGTTGAATAACCCACATAGGAGATCTGGTTATTTTGAATTTAGACCAAAAACCTGCATTGCTAGATACTTTTCTATCCTGTTTGTTAAAGCCACTGGTCATTACTGCCCATTAATGATGGTGGGTATGGGTACACTGGAGAAATTAAACTTCTTGCATGTTTAATTCCTTTCTCTTGAAGTAACATATCCACCAATCCGGACCCAATCTCGTGCAAAGTCAATGCAAAATTGTGAGATTTAGGTTTGGGGGGAGGGGAAAAATGGAAAGATTGGTTTTAAAGTTGTGCATAATAGTTGAGTTTGATTTATTAGAAGCCCTCTAGAGGTACATGATTATCTGGTGGGAAGCTGATTTGGTGTGACTTACCATCCAGAGATCCTGAAGTGACAGCCTGAACTGCTCCTTTGTCTTTGGACAGAAGAGACTTTACCCATTAGTAACGGATTGCTGGATATATTATTTTAGAGAAAAAAAAAGAACAAACAGGTAAGATTTTTTTTTTTTTTCATTCTCCTCTTCTACTGTTTCCTGTCTACTACAAAGGCATTCTCTGTCATCTTTGATCTATCAGCTGTTGATTATTTGAAGACATGATGAGATAGTCTCAAAGTACACAAAAGCTGAATGCAATAATTACTGCAAATACTTTGTGCTGTGCCTGTAGGCTGTTAATACACTTTCTGGAAAAAGACAATTTCCAGTTGCAAGTTGCAGATATTGAGGATCTAAGGATGTTGGTTTGAGGATTTTGAAAGTAAAACTTGGGTAGAGCAAGAAAAGTTAGTGGTAGCTTAATCCATGTAGATAATCCATGTAGAATATTTGTCATTGTTTGCTCTGTACATGATAAGAAAAAAGTTAAGCTATGACATCATGAGTCAACCTGCAGTTTGTCATAAATCAATGTTTGTCATCTGACAAGAAGCACAGATATGGTTTGGAAAGTTTTAGAGAAGCACCTGACACAGAGTTTGTGCTTTTTTCCCCAAAGGTGTTGCCTTTTTGATACCATATTTAACTTGGAATCTGATAAAGCATGCACTGTACCAAGGCTTTAGGTTATTTTTGGTAAAACTAAAATTTTAATTTCTCAAGTGTTACTGAATTTCAGGATATGGGCTTTCTTTGAGCTAATTTTTTTTTTCTGACAGTGTATGGTCAGAAGGGGCTGTAATCTGAAGTCAGGAGCACGTTAGTGAAAGTTAATCCTAAATTTAGATTTTGTGCCTTAGTTTCATGAAACTGCTTTTATGGGCAAGACAGGTATTTCAAGGACAAAAAAAGAGGAGAGCAAAACATGTTTAAACTAATGCACACAGGCATTGTACAGGTATCTGTTGGTTGTGGGTTAAGTCATCTTTCATAAAAATGAGTGGTTTGGGTTCAAGGTCAGGCTGAGGGGTTTAGCAATCTGGTTTAGTAGATGCTGGCCTTACCCACAGCAGGGACATTGGAAATGAATGACTTTGAAAAGACCCTGGCAACCCAAACCATCCTGTGATTCTCTAAATGTAAATTTTAATGTTCAGCATGAATTCCAAGTGATGAAAATCATGTTGAAGTTAGCACAGTGTGAATGAGATCAGCATGCAGAGTGGGTTGGGATTCTTTGTTGGGATTTCTTGCTTTGTAAGTCACTGCCACCTGAGCAGGCAATATTGCTGTTTGAACATGGCAAACCTTAGGGCAAGGTAAAAAGGCACAGGGGGGATCTTGGTAGAAATCCTCACAATTCTTAAGATGCTTATTAGTGGGAGGAAGAAATACAGAGTGAAGGTTCCTCAAGTTTTTTGTCAGGGAATTTTATATTTGAGTTAGTTCAGTACTTAGAGAACTCCCTCTAAGAATTCTTCCCTTTACAAAACCAGAGCAAACACACCAAAAAAAGTGAATAACATCCTTTCCTTTTTTGCCTTTTACTGCCTTGAATCTATGTACATATTTTTAGTCCTGTAGCAAGTGTTAAGCTATTGACACAGTTTATAACACAGGGGACAGCACAGTTCTTTCTCTTTGTGGACACTGTATTTTCCTACTGAGCATGGAAAACCATTTGCTAAGTCTGAGGCAGAAATAGACTTTTCAGTTCTTCAGCCATTGTTAGAAAATACAGTTGGGGTGTAGGGGCAAAAAGTGGGACCTGTGGAGTTCTAGAGCTGCTTTCTTGTCTCCCAATCAGATGTGGAGCTGTGGGGCAGGTTACTGTAAGCTTGGAAATCCATCCTTAGCCTTCACAAAGATGTGGCCATAGTTGCAGCAGCATTGCTCATTCCCAAGCTCCTGTTGGAGAATTTCCAGTGGTTTACACTGTGACAGGTTTTTTGCTGCTGGCTGATCCACTCATTTGTCCTACTGCTGTTGGCTGGACCCAAAGAAAAATCAATCATATGGATGGAAAAAATCAATCATATGGATGGATACACAACTAATTGCAGCCAGTGATGAAATGCATATTCTAAAATCACTTTTCTATTAGCCATGTAAGCTCAGAGCACAATAGAAAAGGGTTGTGCTTCCCTCTCCAGTGGTATAGGTTAAATATTTATTTTGCAAATGAAATAGTTGTAAATATGAATCAGGTACTTAGAAAAATACCAGTAATTGTAGCCAGTACAAGCTTAGTTGCTGCTATCATTCAGTTTGTGTGTTTCTGCTTGATTATTGTTGGATCTTATTTTTCTGTTGAGAGAGGACATTTCCTTTAAATGAGAATTATCTTAAGTGCTCCTGAAGTAATAGCAGCAGCCCAAAATGAATGTATAAATAATTGTTACTACAACTTTACTGGTTAGTTTGAGACAGAACTCGAAGGCAGCTGTTCATTGAGGATTTACAGAGTTGACAAAGTGTATTAAACTGTTACAAATTTAGTGTGGGTAAGGATGTGTTTGTTACTCCTGCCTTGTGTCACAAGAAAAGGAGATGTTAGCCAATGTTACTGTTACCAAATGGAGAGCCTTGGAGAGGTGTTGGGAAACAATGCAGCATTTTGAAAGGCAGGAGATTGTTGGTCTATGGAGAGGAGTCAATTTTCTGTGGAAACTTTCCCAGTGAGTTGTTTCAGATTAATCTTATGCTATACAAAATGGCAAAAAAAAAAAAAATGGTATAATGCAATAATTACTGAGAGTTCAAAACCTCCAACAAATGTATTTCAGAATATGTTTTTGCTTTTCTTCTTTAGAATTGCATGGTTTTGCTTTAGTGTGCTGGGAGTTGAGGCAGAGAAGTCAAAGCAAGTTCCTGTGGCCCACAGGCAGTGACCCAGTTGTGTTTTTTCTCACTAGTGTGTGGTTGGTGGCTGCAATGCCAGCTTTGCATCTCAGGGAGGACTTGCCCGTCATGTGCCCACACACTTCAGCCAGCAGAACTCTTCAAAAGTTGCCAGCCAGCCCAAGGCCAAAGAGGAATCTCCATCTAAAGCTGGAATGAATAAAAGAAGAAAATTGAAGAACAAGAGGCGGCGATCACTACGTAAGTGTTTCACACGAGTAGAAATAAATTCCTGGAAAGTTTGTCCTGGAGTGAAAGTTCCTCCTCAGTCTGGTGGTTTCTCTGCATATCTGAATCTGGTATTCCTTGTGATGGGGAAAAAAAAACCCAATTCCAGGTTCTGTTTGTGTTCCTTTTCAGGGTAAATCTCTGTGTGTCAGGGGAGGGGACACAGAGGATAAAAGATCAGTTTCCCATGAGCAACAAGTGGAGTTGCCAACTGAAAGCAGCTTTTCATTTCAGAGTCACTTTTTGTTTACTGACTCTGTTACTGTTGGAAAGTTTTCTGTTTAGTGCTGATAAGTTCAGACAGAGATTGCAGATTCATAGAAATTAGAGATAAATGCATGTTATATAAGCTCTTTTTTGAGCACAGCATTTCATTACGTTAATGACAGTTTTATGAGCATAACCAACATCTAATTTTGGGCAGAATTGAAAACTTGTTATGTTTTTTTAATCTGTCTCCACACAGATGATGTTCATTAATTTTATATGATCCAATGTGCTGAGAGGTGTGATTTGTCAGTTCAAGTGAGAACTGTTTCCTCTACCAAGAAATAACCATTTACCCAGTACCTCTTCCAGTCCATTTGGATTGGTGGTTCCTGATGTTCTGCTGTTCCTAGCATTAGACTAATAAAACATCAAATCTCTATAGAGATTCTAATCTACAGTTAGGAAAGATTAAGCAGTTGTTGCAATATTTCACTCTGGGTTGTAATTGCTTTGGATGCAACTCTCCAGTACCAAAGTGATCATTTGCTAATATTAAAATGTTACTCTGACACGTGCATTTTGGAAGAGAAAAAACCCATTTGCATTTTTTTCTGCTGGTATGTCAACAGCTGAACTAAAAACAACATGAATTTTTACTTGTGGTGCAAAATCTGTCTCACAGTATTGGAAAGTAGCACAAGATACCTTTTTTAATGAGCCACTGGACATTTTAAATCTCATACTGTCCACAGTTTTATTTCTCTAAAACTCTTCTGTAGCAGAACATTTAACTGCATCCATCTTTCTGTTCCTGTGAAGAAATCCAGTTATCAGTTATTCAAATGATACTGCAACAATAAAGTCACATACCAGTGCTCTTAGGTAATTAATCTTTACCACTTTATTCTGATTTATTCTTAATACCTCACCCTTGTTTTAAGGAACTTTTTGGCAATTTGTGAAGCAGTGGTCGTGTTTCTGCCTTGCATGCACACAACTTCCTGGGAAGTGACTTTATCCTCTGGAATTCTGAGGTTTCCTCAGCCTCTGGGTATGCCTGGGTATTCTTAAAATATATATGAGCAAATTGAATTGTGAAACACATCTTAAAAGCAGAGAGTTCTAATTCCAATTGGATTTCCTTTAATTTTGATTCAACAGTTAAAGAAATTAAAAAACTGTTTCTTTCCTTGTCAGAATTTGATTTTCAAAGGTTTTCCCTTTCACTCTGGAAATCCATGTCAATGAGAAGGTGGCACAAGGGTTCAGGGCTCTCTGTGCAGAATCTTTTTGCATCTTAGATGTAATGAGATAATTGCAGGTTCCTATAGGATCACTGTGATTTGTTGACTGTGTTACTCAAAATATAAATGTCCAAGACTGGTCACTTCAAAATTCTCATTTTCAGAGGTTCCTGAGTTGCATGTTAGCTTGCTTCTCCATACTGTTTTTGTTAGGTGGCTGATTCAATATCTTAATTAATTTTAACCCCAGCTAAGTAGTAGAAGTAATTTTCAAGTTGGCATTTCAAGTAGTTTTTCAAGTTGGCATTTTATTAGTTATTGATAAACATCACATTATGTTATTTGACTTACAAATTTCAAATCAGAGGTTCATAATTAAAACTTCAAATCACCTGTTAATATGCTTTAGTTGTAATAAGAATTTGCTGCAGAAGTTATGAATGAGTTTAAGGCAAAAACGTAAATAATTAATATTGTGGAAATGTTAAAGAATAGAATGCAGTATTGGAATGGTCTGCTGTCTTGATCAAGTGTTGCACAGGAGGAAAAATGACAGCTGCTTGAGCAATTTCTTATCTTCTGGCCTCTTGAGACAAATGCAGTGCTGGCTGTAGACTTGTGCCTTAAGGCAGAATTCATCTCTAAGTGAATTGGGAGCTGACTACTGTAATGTATTTCTCCAGAGGGTCTGTGACCCAGAAATGGATCCAGAGTTGATGGCATTTTCTGAAAATGCTGAGTTATTGGCAGCTTTCCTTTCAAACTTTGTGTGGGGTATTGTTGGTGCACGAATGTGACAAAGGGCTGATAGAATTTTGCTTGTCTTTCTGTTTCTTACTTAATTTTAGTTAAAGAATGAAGTGGGCAGGTTTGTATGGTTTGTCTTTACAAGGAGAATGGGGAAAGGTAAAACCCTTCTCTAAGAAGCCAAAATAACACAATTAACATCATTAAGTATTTTCAATCTAGAGTGTGTAAAGCTAAGAACCTGGATTTATAATTAGATATTTTTAAGTGCCCAAAAGGAGAGGTGTTTAACTCAGGTACCAGGTTCTCTGCAAGGAAGGTTACAAGGACTTAATGACATGGATGTAAACCAAAATGTCATTTGATAGTGGGAAATCTGCTTCAATCACTTGCAGATAATAATTTGACAGAAGCTCACAGTTATTCAGCATAAAGCAATTTGTCTCTGGAAAAAAATGTTATCAGCATATTCTTTTTACCTCATGGTTTTATTAGACCCTGGCTTTTTTAAAGGTGTAAGTGCATTATTAAGTATTTGACAATTAATGGCCAATACATGCTGTTACTAAAGCACCCTCATGTATAAATTCTTAATAGTTTAAATGCAGCAAATTATACATTTGCTTGCTCTGTTTTATATCTGAAGGGAACACCTTTCTGTGAGGGAAGGTAGAATGGAAAAGGAGACTTTACTGTGGGTATATGTGGTGAGAATACAATCTCCTAACTCGGACCACAAAGAGAATTTGTACTGCTACTGAATTGGCTTTTAACATCTTGCCATTTGAAAGTATTTACTTTTCTTTTGTGCTGTCCCTAAACGAGGCATGTTCTTTTAAGTTTGAAAATCATAAAAACTTGTTTTACTGGTGGCACCCTTTGAGCTGGATACATTCATGGTGCTGTAGAAATTTAGAAATTCTGCTGTAGAATAATTGAGGATTAGAATCATGGCTTGCTCTCTCCTGGATGCCTTTTGCATGTTCCCTCCTTCATGCAGAGTGGAATTTAGAACCAGATCTATGGCAAGTGTGGACCCTAAAATAAGGCACAGTATTGCTGTTAAATCTGTTTCCTCAACATCATTTTCAGGGTAAAGATGCATAGAAAATGCAACACTAACACTTAGGATAAATTCATTACACTTTTGAAAAATTGCACCCTTTCTGCTCAGTCTGCTGAATGTTTTCCATAGTAAATCCTGGAGAAATTTACTGCATGAAACTGAAAGCAGAAATTTGGGTTTGTTTTTTTTCCCCTTCTTTCCACCCTCCCTCCTTTCCTCCCTCATATTTATTTATTTATCAAATATTTAGATGCTTGCATCACTGCCCAGCTGCAGCACGAGCTGTGGTCCTGCATTGCCACTCAGAGTGGGAAATCATTGCCTAAGTTGATAATGTAATGCCAGTTCCTAATTTTAATTTTAATTTCAGTATGTTCTTTAATAAATTGCTACTCTCAAGCAAGGCTTAAAAAATGGGAATGTTTTCATTCAGACTTTTTTGCTAATATAATGTTATTACAGTTTAATATATGGTATATTTTAAAACTTTTCTGGGAAATATTTCTAATACCATGCAAATAGGTTCTTAACAGCAATTATTTTTTAGTGTAAGTACTTTTAGTGTAGAATTGATGGACTTTCTTTTACACCCTAAATTAAAATTCAATAATCTTTCTACTGTTCAAGAAACACTTAATTATAAAAATCCTCTTGTAACAGGAAAAGGTGTTTGTAATGCCTGCTGGTTTTATACTGGTTGTAAAATCTCAGGTGGGTGTTAGTTGTGAATTGAAGGTGACATGGGATTCATGCAGTTGGTGCTTCTTGGGTACAAAATGTTTACTGAGAGTCCAAGAGCATGGAATGGACAACCTGTACATAGAAATGTGGAATGGTGTGGGGTTTGTTCAGCATTATTGAAACTGAAATGAGTGGATGTGGTGACATTTTTGGAAATGGCTGTTTCATCCACAAACACTGTGGTGGCAATTTTGGAAATGGCTGTTTCATCCACAAACACTGTGTTTAAACCAAACCTGAATTGTGCTTCTCTAGGAATAATTTCTCCCTGTCAGTGAAATGAATGTCTGCAGCTGTGTGACAAGGTAGTGCTGCTGCCATCATGAGCAATGATTTACTAATGACATGCCTGAATGTGTTGGAATTCTTTCCATGTGTTGGACACTGAGGATCTCTTGTCCTTTTTTTTCCAGCAAGACCTCATGACTTCTTTGATGCACAGACACTGGATGCTATAAGACATCGAGCCATCTGCTTTAATCTCTCAGCACATATAGAAAGTTTAGGAAAAGGCCACAGTGTTGTATTTCATAGTACTGTAAGTATAAATGTGATGCATTCTGTTTTTTTACCTGTGTGTTTACAAAAATTCCAATCTTTCAGAAAGATTTCTGTTTTTCTCTTACTGCTGTAGATGTTTAATCAGAAAGAAGCAATAGTGGCTCTTTTAAATTGTTGAGTTGTCCACTGCTATTAGGAAGTGAACTTTTCAGAAGTTTTGGTAATAGTTGTTGTAGCTCACAGATTGAATGGATTGCAACATTTCCATTTGGGAAATATCTAACAGCAACTTTGTGTTGCAGAAGAAAATTGATTCTACCTTCTAAATAAGGATGCAGTTCAGATAGCATTTCCATGGTCATGAGTAACAGTGCTAATTTTATCACAAGAAATCTTTTTTGCATATAATTGAATATGTAAAGATGCTGATCTGAAATATGCATTTATTCCCTTTTTTTTTTCTCCAGTTTAAAAGATATAATTCTGAATAAATTTTTTTTCCTGTCCCCATTTTTTCTTTTAATAAACTTAACACCAAAGTATTGGTGAATTGCTGGAAGGAGGCAAGAACCAAGTGGGGACCTTGTGTTTGGATAGGAAAGACATCAGTATTATTTTAGAAGATTTCAAAGCAGGAATAAAGTATACTGAGTTGGAGTAGAAGGATCAGAAGTTTTAAAAGTTGAATAACCTCAGGTTTTCTTAAGCACATGGGGAGATGAGGGCATTAAAGTGGAGACTTGGCTGAAGAAAAGGACAAAATGGGGAGGAATGATTTCAAATTAGTGGAATAGTCCAGGCAAGGAGTGCTGGCTGACTTGTCTTGAGCTACAGCTTAATCTTAGTATGGGATTCAAACTCTTGAACTATCAGTGTCTTTCCATAAATCAGAGATGATTTAATATGCATGAAGCTTATTTCACCTTGTTCTGCAAGACTGATGATGGTTCTAAATACCCGTGGCCTGCATTGGGAATCTTTTCCAAATTATTTCTGCTGAACTTTATGGACCTTGTGCAGCAGCTGCCAGTGGGGATTGCTGTCACTGTGTTTAAATCTCATTCTGATTTCCCTGGCCAACGTGGATTTCACAGTGCTGTGAGAAAAGCAGATTCTCTTTGAATTCAGAGCTTGCTTCAATCTGAAATATTATCCAGGCACTCTGCTCAGCTGTGGAAGAGCAGCTTTGGCTATTGGAATAATTCATAAGGAGGTGGAATTCGAGGGAGGAATCTGCTCTAAACCTGCTTCCCATGACCTTGAAGGAAGTGGTGCCCATCCCTCCAGCTCCTCTGTGTGTGCAGCACTCGTGGCAGGAGGTTGATGAGCTCTGAAATTGTTTAGATCTCAGTTGGGGGAGATCCTGTACCAGTGGAGGACTGCCCTGGAATTCCAGCCCCAGCCTGCCCTTGGCTGCTGTGTTTTGGTGTGCTGGACATGAGCTTTGGGGATGAGAGCAGCCCAAAATGAGCTTTATAAAAGGCAGAGGTAGGCTAGGAGCTGCTGTGTGGCCATGCAGTGCTGTGAGCCCTCAATGCCAGCACTCACTTGGCATCAGCACGTGGGGCTGGAATGGTGGCTGGCTAAATGCAATAACAAGAATAATGACTTGGTGTGGTCCACCTTCAGATGAAGAAAAAGTGTGTAATTATCATAATTTGAAAGATGGAAAACAGGAAGATGAAGTTGCCATGCTGTCTGAAAACACACAGAAATGAAGTTGGCTTTATTGCTTTATGCAGCATGGGAATAATGGCAGCACAATGCATTATTTTTCAGGGCAGAGATTCTAACATGAAGAATTTCTAAGCAGTCACTGTAGATACCTTGCATGTTCTCTGAAAAGGCACATCCTTTCATTTCTTTCTACTTTTTTAAACAGAACCTTTTCTCTGTAGATCTGGAGAGATTTAGAATGCAGTCATTAATAAAAGCCTTTTGAAGAAATGTGCTTGCTATTCAGAATACACTTTCGACTTGATTATGATTTTTTTTTTCTGCTTACTTTTTTTAATTGAGTCAAATTCTTTGTATTTTAATTCTCTGAATAGTTAGATGGAAAAAGCCAAGCATGTCTAGTTAAACTAAGGAACAGAAATTAAACTGATTTAAAAATGTAACTTATAGGTTACCCTGGCATGCCACCCCCAGCCTTTGAAGTGGTTTCAATTAATTCTCTAAAACATTTGAACACTGAACTGTTCACCAGTTTTAGGTTTTTTTAGTGGCCACATGTATTTTAATTAGTTACACTGTTTCAGTGTATTGAAACCTTGTAAGACAGTAAATGAATGCAGTGATGCCTCCCAGTTTACAGTGGGAAATTGTTTTCTTTTTCCAGAAGGGGTCAGCAAAACTCCATGGCTGCTTTGGGACAAATTTGATGCACATTTCCTTTGAATTTCCATTTTGTTTCTGGGACAGTGCAGGCAATGTGGGTAGTATAGTAAGAATATTTCCAATTAGAGCTGTATTAAGTGTACATCTGCTGGCTCAATTGTGGTTTTCACTTAAAAAAATAAATGGATTAAAGTTCTTTACAAAACAGTTTCAAGTCTTTATTGCAGACACACAACTTTCAAGGAGTATAAGTTTGCTTTCTATGAATGTCTAGTAGGGCATGAAGAACAACAACTTTTGAGTTTGACATGTGTAATTTGGTTTTAATTATGATTTTGTGCTTATTATAGGTAATAGCTAAAAGAAAAGAAGATTCTGGCAAAATAAAACTCTTGCTTCATTGGACACCAGAAGACATGTGAGTATATTGCTAGTGGTGTTTGAAATGGGGAAGGGTTTACAGTGGGATCAATGAACTGTTAGTAAATTATTTTGTGCCTTTGAATATTTGAGTTAAAGTTAATATTTTAAAAATGCTTTTCAAAAAGTATTTTAGAAGTTTAGAAATTAATAAACAATGAGTTAATTGATTTTTTTACTTTCACTTTCAAGTCTTTTTGGGCTCTAACACCAGTTCAGTTAAATTTGCTTCTGTACTTTTAATGCATTTTGTCCCAAGTTTCAATTCACCTTGAGAGACAAAAGCTAAAATATTCTTATGAAATGGGCAGTTTTTTGCTTCCTTTTAGGACAGATGGTAGTACTATATCTAACAGCATCCTGAAATTATTCTTTTTAAAGTCTTACAGATAAAGACAGTTAATTTTACTTTAAGATAAGCATTAAGAAGTATGCAACATTAGGAACATAAATAATAAAGGAGTAATTTTTTTGTTTTAGTGCAGAGTCAAAGAAGATTTTTGCTCATGCAGATTATTCAGTGTTAGAAGCTGTGCATTGGAGAGGACAGGTTGTTACATTCCCAATGGAATTTAGATTTGGTTGGTCAGATCAGAGGAATAATGTGTTTTATATTGTTGTTTGTTGTATCTTGGTTGGGTTAGATAGGTTAGGTAGAGTATTTCAGACACTGAGGGATGTAAATTTGAATTCCTGAGTGTGTGGCTGACTGTGTGTGAGCAGAGCAGATGTTTCCTGGCACACACCATCAGTGTCTTTACACCAGGCACTTCACACAGAAATGCACCCCTGGAGATTCTTTGCAGCCTCTGAGCTGCCTCAGCTTCCTCCTGGAGAAACTGATGCCTTCAGCTGGAAGTGTTCCTGTTCTCCTTGGATGTGCTTTTCTGATGTGCTGGGGTGATCAACACAAACCAGTCCAGTTCTAGTTCAGAACTCCAGGACACTTTCTCCAAACTTCAGGCCCTGAGCACAAACTCCGTGGAAAGGTGGAGGGTGGGTTCATGCAAATGAACCAAAACCTATAAAAATGTGAGATTTTGTGACCAAACCCCTCCTTTCCTTCCATCTTTGAGCCATCCAGGCAGGGGCCACCACTGTGGCACTGATATTGCTGGGGTGTGGCTTTTGTAGGCCTCACAATAAATACCCATTTTATTCTCCTTAACTCTGTGTGCAGCCTCTGCTCCAGCTCCTCAAGGCATCAAAACTGTGCAAGTTCCCCAGGATATCTCTGAGTTTAGGGTTTGGGTCAGGAAAAGTAAATACAAGTCTTTAAGTAGTGTCCTTTACAAGAGGGAAATAACTTTTAGTGGGCTGGGAAGGGGGAGGTTGTTTTGTTGGTTTTGGTTTTTGTTAAGAGCAGGAATTTATTTTTGGTGCATTGCTGTCTTTCTGTATATTTTAAATCTTGGCATGTGACAAGTTTTCTTTTTTTGCTGGTTGTATCTTGAGCATACATTTGCTGCTGAAAATGTCTTCCCAGTGTTGGTTGTCCAAAAACTGATTTTTGGCTTTATTAAAAAAAAAAAACCTCCATGATGTTTTTTTCCACCTTCCATGATCCATAAGATTTAGTGAATAAATGGATTTCCTGCTGGGTTCTTCTCTCTCCCCCTCTGCCCTGGTGTTTTTTCTTTTTTTTTCTTCCTCCTTCATCTGAAAGGTTTAATTGGAGAAACTCCTCTTCCTGCTGGGTTAGAGGTTCTGGGTTTCATTTTATGTTTTGAATAGCTTACCCAAAAAATGGAATTTGAGTTGCAGCTAACTTTCATGCAGAGTGAAATCTGCAAAATACAGATTCAGTGAAGTAATTTGCAGAAGCCTGTGCAATTTGGCTTTGCAGAGAAAGAGCCATTACATTTAGTTTTAAGTGTTGGGTTTCTCAATTGGAAACCTGTTTCAAAGACTTAGACACTTTAATTACAAACTCCTCCCCCAACCTGAAGTTAATCTTTAGCTTCTAGGACATGTAGAAAATGTTTAAAACCCCACCAAAAACCCAAAGAAGAGGATAATCAAATAATTAACTTCAGCAAAGTTGGAGCATTTTGTCTTTGAAACCCTTGAGCTTGGAGCAAACTCAAAGCTCGTTGCCTGCTCTATATTCTGTCCTTTAATTGAACAGAATCAAAGAATCTCTACCTAATAAAATAAATTCTTTTCAACAGTCTGATTGTTTTTCTGTTGCCCATTTTCACATTAAGTTGTTACAGTGGAGAATGTAGTGCCATTATCATTGAACACTTGGAATAATCTAAATTCTGTTCAGTGTCCTTTCAAACTGAGAACCTGAAAACCATCCCAGCATAAGGGGTAAAGATTGGCTGCCTTTTTAACCAGGGAAATGTGAAAATTGCTTCATATGTACTAGTTTACCACATGATTTTATGGTAAGAAAAGCAGTTGATCTTTTTTGAATATTTTTATTTTATTTATTTATTCATAGTCTGCCTGATGTGTGGGTAAATGAAAGTGAACGACATCAGTTAAAAACTAAAGTAGTTCATTTATCAAAACTACCAAAAGATACTGCCTTGCTTCTGGACCCAAACATTTACAGGTAACATCCTCATTTTGAAATTTTCTTTCCTTGAATGTAATCTTAAGCCTCACTTAACTTTTTGACGTTGGAAAATCAGGATTGCTAATGAATTATACAGCACATCAGGGAGCCTTGGTACTGTAAACGTCCAGGAGTTAAGTTCTGAGGTCTTAAGTTATTTCAGAATTACTTCTTGAACTAAACTCTAGTGACTGAGAAACGGGGAATGTGTGTATTTACCAAGTGTATTTTACTTTTTTGTGCTTGGTGTACAGAAATTCTAGTAAAGGAGGTACATACAGTGGAATCCTGAAAGATCACTTCTGTTAAGATCACATACTGGTTTGTATACCAATTTTTTTAAAGTCCAAATTTATCTTTCCATATTATATTCAGCTGTAATACATGCAGTATTACCTTGAAACTTGTACTTGTATTCAAGTACTGTTAATTTTTTTTATGAAAAGATTCTCTCTAGGGGGAACAAAAGGGAACAATCCATGTTACTTATCTTTAAGCTACTTTCACATTTCTGTTTTTAGGCCCTCAGATTGGCTTCTAATCCATCTGGTTTCTAATAATTTCCTGATTCTCCCCCACCCCTTTATTACTGCTCTGCCATGATTGTCAGTACCCACAGTTCTGTGTGTACAGTTTTTAAAGGTAATCTGAAATGCTTAATTCATTCTGAAATTTTGAGCATCCACGGAGACATTTATGTGATTATATTAAAAATCCATGCAAATGGGTTGTGGAAAGCAAGTTTATCATAACAGAAGTTCAGTGTTCTGATGTTTCTTCCTGAACCTCCAGTGACCAAGAGTCCCAAGGAGTAAATGAAACACTAATCTGTGCCTTCCAGTGCAATAAGCCTTTCAGTTCACCTTTAACATTCAGTGTATTCACTAATCAAATTAATGCAAACTTGCTTTACAAGATGAAAACCAATCCTACTGTATTTGCTATCTTTGTAAATGTGTTTTCAATACTTACCTTAGTCTATGAATCATTGCTGTTAATGGTAAAATCATGACAATGTTAAGGGAAGATTGGATTGTGTGTTTTAAAACTGTTTAACACAGTGACTTTTATCATCTAATTGAGTTGTTAATAACTTTATATCGATTACCTTTGCTGAGCTTGATAGATTAGTTTGCTTTGAAAAGAAAAAAGTAACCTTTTAAAATAAAAATTTAATGATCTCTGGATTAAGCCCTTGGAGAAAAATTAGCAAACCTTTCTATCTCTCCCAAAGAAAATTAAGGTCTCCACTTGTAATGTGCTCTATTTTTAGCAGTATGGATCAGTCTGTGATTGAAATGAGCTTTTGGGACCAACTGAGGGAGCTTATATATATAAATTATATAAATTATATATATAAATTTAAAAACCAAAACTTTACAGGAGGAAAAGATAGTTAAAGAAATTCAGTGGCAGTTATTGGTGTCATGCTAAAATATCATGTTTTAATAGAAAGTTTGAAATCATTATCTGGAATGTACACTTTGATGAGATCATCTGAACTGGCTCTTGGTTTTAATCAAATGAAAGTAGATTTTGTATAGTTGTGGTTTGATAGTGCATTCAGCTGAGTGGTGTTGTGTAGCTGGCAGGTTTTAATGTAAAGCTGTACCATCTTCTTTTACAGAACAATGCCCCAGAAGAGGTTGAAGAGGTAAAAACCAAGCAAGTGGGGACACCTGCAGTCTTAGTCACTGACAATGGATTTAGAAATAAAGTTGCACATTAGTCAAATCCCATCTTTTTTTTTTTT